GCGAGCAAGCTTGTTTTCCGCGAGAAGCCAGAGAGATGTCGTTACTGAGGTTATATGTTTTGAGATACTATGTTTTCAAGAACAAGTTTTTCTAAGAGTTACGTCTGTTTGTCTGTGATTTTAGCATTAATTTCAAAATAAAATTGTGATTTTACTGTTTCTACCGAATTTCAACGTTATTATTCACTGTCTACGGTAAAATAGTGTTGCAAAATGTATGGATTCATGGTGGAAAATGGCGGATATGTTACATTGGTCCTTCTGAAAAGTATAATTTTCTGTTTGCTTCTAGAACCGTCTATTGAGACAAAATTAAACACAAATTAAATAAAACCCTACGCATTCACGGTGCGAACCAAACATTCACTCATGGCTAAAACGAGAATTGCACTGATAATTGGCAAATCAAAGCCGGCACCCGTGGAGAAAAGAAGAACCATGAAAGTGATGACGGCCTCAAAACCTCCCACGGGGAGGTACTCGAGTGCGATCCTAAATCGCTTTTATTTTTCAGATGGAGCATTCTATTTAAATCTGGTTGCTGCCATAGTGGTAGAAAAGCTTACATCTATGTAAACAACTAAAACCTGATAAGAAATATTTTTTCTATATCATATGTCTATTGAGTAGCCCTGATTTTTTTTTCTACTAACGTATAATCAACTATATTTTATTAAAATAATTTGCTTGTAATGCCAATACATTCCAAGACTGCACCCGCACACCTCACCGTGTTAAATCGGTTAATTCTCGAAACCATCATCACCTCCACAGCTCCTCGACCCTCCACGAGTGCCAACCCTGACTTGCCAATTGGAATTCAGAATCGTACAGTATACGTTGGTGTTTGTAAAATGATATTATGATATCTATAGCGCAGTGTTCGTGAGATCTGGTTTGTAGAAAATTCAAGCTGATGTATGAAATAATAATGAAATAGCAAAAAGCAGATTTTTTTTTTTAAGGCTTTATTAAAGAGATTTTTAGCCTTAGGCTAGTACATCTCTAAAAAAAAAAGCAGATACAATATTACACCAATAGATGTAATTTTGTTCGCAAAATCTATGTACATCGTACAACGTAATATCATAGAGGTAACTCTAAGACTAGAAGGTCCCGAAATAACGTGCTCAACTTTTTGGCTCAGCTCTGGTACTATCTTCGGTCTCAAGCTAATCGATGCACCCCTCGAAACATAGGAAAATCCAATAACCCCTCATTTTATCTGTCAAACTTTCATAGCGAATCAAAACAAACATTATGTAGTACTAGAATTTCGACTAGAATGGGGTACGTTAATCGTTTGCTTGGGACCAATAGGCTAGTAAAGTAGTGAGCCAATTAAAAATCGTTAGTTTCGTATTGATTGTTGGTAATATGGTAATATTACACAACCGGCGGAATGACTTCTGTGCAGCTGTTTGGGTGTTCAACAACTTTTTTTTGCTGTGAAAAGCTTTGTTTTTGTTGTGTACTGGTCGCAGAGTAGACGAAAGTTAAGGCCGGCGCACAATAGATACGTTTTCAGGTTTTTTGACAGTTAGCCCATGCATTATCTGTCAAAAAACCCGAAAACGTATCTATTGTGCGCCGGCCATTATCGAAGGCAGGAATATTCCCCAGCGATTTTCAAAGTCAGTTCCCGTGGAGGAAAATTCTGTTTTTTTTTTGGTAAGTATATGTGCACGTTTCGGAAACTGAATCGCGACAGGGAATGTGGACATTTTACCACCCAGATCGAGACCCAGGCAACTATCGGAAGGACGATATCGTGGCAGTGAATTTAACATCCAGCAAAGTTGCTGGCCCACTTCAGCGACGATTTGAGAATAGATCCATTGGTTTACCAGCAGGTTCTTCTAAAGGACGAGATATATTCCGTTCCAAAGACTGACGATTTACCAGAGGATTTACCTGATCTATGGGCGGAACCCGTGATGCAGACGATAGAAAAGGGACCGATGGCTGAAGGGACGGAGATTTTTTTTTCGTGAAATGAAATAAAATAAAATCATAAATTTGTTTAACAATTGAACATCCAAAGATCGAATATGTAACTAGTTTAAAAATGCGATTTCCAAAGGACTTCCTTAGCATGGGAATGGCTCTTTTAAACAAGTCACATATTAATTCTGTCGGTGTTACTATCGTATTTTAGATCCTTTTGACAACCAAAACAAACCTGGCAACTAAACGAAGCCTGGGGCAAAGATATCTAATTAACAAGATATCCCACTAATCAATTCCTCATACAAGGCTTATAATTCCACCCGTATGTGATTGCAGTGCCATATGTTGAGTACACAGCAAAAAAAGTTGTTGAATATTACATCGAAACTGCTGCAACCAGGTCAATCCATCGGTTGTGTAATATCGCATTGTACAATGTACATCGATTTTGCGAACAAAATTACATACATTGATGTAATATTGTATCTGCGTTTTGCTATTACCTCATTATTTCATACATCAGCTTGAATTACGTTGATCGATATTACATTTTTTTTTGCTGTGTACACATTGAAACTGTTGGGAGTTCCCCGCCAACTTCACCACCTCGGTTCAATAACTAACAGGTGTCAGCATGATGGATGTCAATGCGGACGTTGATGATCATCCGAGGAAAGAGGACGATATTATCATAGAGGTAACTCTAAGACCACTGGGTCCCGAAGAAAATCATTATTATTTTTGGCTCACTCAGTACCAGAACAACGGTCCCAAGCAGTCCCAAGCTATTTCACTCACCCCTGCATGTTCTGCATGAATCCACACACCCCTGATGTTATCTGTCAAACTTTCATAGCGAATCAAAACAAACATAGTGTAGTAATAGAATTTCAACTAGAATAGGGTACGTTAATCGTTTGCTTGGGACCAATAGGCTACTAAAGTGGTGAGCCAATTTAAAATCGTTAGTTTCGTATTGATTGTTGATATTATCCTCGAAGTCATCATCATTATATTGCGATAGCAAGATTCTTAAAGGCCACGCACATTAGATCCGTTTGCGTTGCGTTGACGTAAATTTGACAGTTAGACAATAGATTTAGCTGTCACTTTGCCGCAACGCGTCCGATCCGGATCTAATGTGCGGGGGCCTTTACTTGTTTGTGATTGTTCCGATTTTCAATCATTACCACTTTATACGCAACAGAAACACTTGAGAAAACAATCACACATCCAAGCACGCATAATGATGTGCTTGTAATATGTTTTGCTTTCGAGCGAAAGAGTTTCCAATATACCACCGGTATCAGTAAAATGCAAATCTCAAATAGTAATTGAATAATAATAATAGAATCTTAATAAGCATCGATATAAGCATAGAAGTACCTTAACATGGGAAAAGCATTCACTCTCTCTAAAGAATTATTCCAACACCCCAGTCACTGGAAATGCAACGTATTGAAATCATTGCTAAACGTAATAAAATATGCCGTCTTCTTTGGCCAACGCAGCACGCATTCTATTCAAAAATTTCATTGGAATAATCATTACTTTCCTATTTTATAACGTAGGAAGCATTTGTCCATAGAGGTAACTCTAAGACCACTGGGTCCCGAAGAAAATCATTATTATTTTTGGCTCACTCAGTACCAGAACAACGGTCCCAAGCAGTCCCAAGCTATTTCACTCACCCCTGCATGTTCTGCATGAATCCACACACCCCTGATGTTATCTGTCAAACTTTCATAGCGAATCAAAACAAACATAGTGTAGTAATAGAATTTCAACTAGGATAGGGTACGTTAATCGTTTGCTTGGGACCAATAGGCTACTAAAGTGGTGAGCCAATTTAAAATCGTTAGTTTCGTATTGATTGTTGATTTGTCAACGCAGGTGAAAGCAAACGCAAACGGAAGTAGCAGAAGCTGAATGAAGACGATGAGTGATGACACCGCTTCGTGTTTTGATTTGCGCTGTACCGTCCGCTCAGTTGCGTGGGTTCGTACATGTATAGATGTTGGTGTGCGTGTTTTCTTCCAAGGCACACTGGGCAAAAATTGACAAAACCGCGACTAAATTGAATATCTCAGCTCTGCTTTGATCTCTTGATTCTGAACATCATAGAAAAAATCGCAAGGTTCTAGGTCAATTTTTATAATACCGCCACTTAATCGGTCGTTCCGGATCCTCCTTTAGGCCAGTAGATTTTACCTGAGGTGTCTTTACACCATATATACTTAGTACTATCAATTTCCAGTAATATACGTTAAGTAAAGTGTAAAATTATGTCGATAGATAGTGGCATTTCCTACTTTACCGGGAATTCGGCTTGATCCCGGCCCTCTATCTCGGTACGCAAAAGTCACCACCAATCGATTCAGCAGAATTTTTCCTTTGAGAATATGTATAACATGTTGACTGAAACCGTTTGGCAGCCGAGATATTCAATTTAGTCGCGGTTTTGTCAATTTTTGCGTTGTTTCGTCACAAACCGTTTGGCGCTGTTATCTGTCTCTAAAAAATCCAAAGACTGAAGGGTTTATACCCCGTTCACATTACAGCCTATATCACGTAATATAGGCTGTCTTGCAATGAGCACTCATCCATAGGATTTCCAGTGAAAACTAGATGTATGAGTGCTCATTGCAAGACAGCGTATATCACGTGATATACGCTGTAATGTGAATGGGGTATTAAGTATAACTTTTTTTTTTCTTAATACCTGGCATTCTTGTCATTGGTGTGCATACACGCTATTTCAAAACTACCGAAATTTAGGTAGAACCCACCCAGATCTTTCAAAACTGAACCTACCAAAAATGGGTAAACTATGTTGGGCGTGACAAGTTGACAAATTAACAACGTCGATCGGATTCATGTCGATTTTGTTCATTATTTGTCAACTTGTAACTGCCAACACAGTTTACCCATTTTTGGGTAGGTTCAGTTTTTACAGATCTGGGTGGAATCTACCAAAATTGGGTAGTTTTAAAATAGCGTGTAAGCAAGAGTAAACAATCAACAATCATCATCAGTACTGCCAGTCATCAGCAATCTGTGTTGTTCGTGTAATATAATGAATCCGTAATCTTCCCTGAAGCCGGTTAGTGGCTTTTGAAAAAAATCTCGTGTTAGTGAAAAACTAAAAGCTTATTTTTTGTTTAACTTGGTGCCACTGTTTTAAGATCTCACATACCATCGTCGCAAGAAATGATTCGCCCGGAGGTGGTCAAGCAGCTGACATGCCCCTCGTTCGGTCTGGCCACATCGTGGATCATCTCACGCCAGGGGCGACCGGCCGAATCGCTGGACGAAATCAGGCGCGATTTTCGCCGTGAGCTGTGGCCATTTGCCAAAGTGGAATCCCGGAAGGATAATGCGAAAGCCAAAAAACTGCGCGAGCAAGCCAACGAATGCTACCGGAAGGAACCACGGGAAATCGAGAAAGTGCTTCGATTGTACAATGAGGCTATTTGTTGGGCGGCTGTTGGATCGGTGGAGGAGAGTCTGGGTTACGGAAATCGATCGGCGGTTTACTTCAATCAGAAGAGGTACGGACTGTGTTTGAGGAATGTTGAGCGGGCCAAGGGAAGTGGATATCCGGAGGAGAAGCTAGACAAGCTGCTGGAACGGGAAAGGAAATGTTTGAAAGCGCTAGAGGAAACGGTCGGGGATGAAAATAGGAACGAGGTGGATTTGGTCAATGAGCTTGAGCTAAGAGCAAACTTGGAACTGGTCGAAACGGCGCAATGCGGGAGGAGTCTTACGAGCAAGAAGGAATTGAAGGTGGGGCAAATTGCCTTGATGGAGAATCCATTTTTGGTGGTACTGGAACCGGAAGCGGTCTATTGCAGATGCAATCACTGCGGTAGGAAGAACGAACTGGATTTGATTCCTTGTCGAGACTGTGTGTCAGCAATGTACTGTTCGGATCAGTGTCGCGATGAAGCGCACGACAGGTATCACAAATTTGAATGTGAGATCGTGGAAGATCTGAAGAGTCTGTTCCGGGGACCCAAACCGACACGAATGTTCCAGCTGGCGTTGAGATTGTTTTGGATGGCGATGGCAAGTATGATCGAAGACCGGGAGAAGTTCCTGAAGGGGTACTCGGTGCAGCTAAAGACGTTCCGGAATCCTCTGGAAGTGGTGGGTTTGAAGCAGAAGCTTCATCTGCACGTTCTGGCGAATGGTGAACCGAATGTGAGTCCCGATCACACAGGAAAAGGGGTGACACAGTTCTTGACGGTGTTGGTGTTCAAGGTAGCCGTGGAGGAGAATGGATCCGTTCAGGAAAATTTTCGAAGCGAAAATGAGGGTCTATTGTTGGAGGTTTTGTACAAATTGGTTCTCCTTGCGAAGGGCGTCTGCGATCAGAGTGTGGACGATTTAACTTGCGTCTATCCGTTGCTACAGATGGTGAATCACTCGTGTGCTCCCAATGCTGAGCGGTTTGTGAGTGGGACGAGGTCGATGTTGGTGGTTAAGCGACCGATTAAGGAAGGAGAGCAAATCTTGATGTGCTACTTGTGAGTATTTGGACGGTGGATGTTATGAGGGATAGATACTAATGCTTGTTTCGTTTCAGTCCCAACGGAAGCACCGACTACAAGGACAAGATCAAGCGGAAGACGATGCTGCTGAAGGAGTTTGAATTTGACTGTCAGTGTTTGGGCTGCTCTCTGGATTATCCTCTGCTGAGTGCGATTGAAGAAAATGCTGAATTGAGGGGTGAATTGGAGACGCTGAAGTATAAGAGTGGCGATGAGCGATTGCAACTATTGGAAGACTTTCTGCAGCGGAACGATGATAAGTATCCGCAGAAGGAGATAGTCGAAGCGTGGAGTTTGTACAAGCAGGAGAGATCGAAGCGTTTCTAATTTAAGATTTTGAACTTTTGCTTATTAATAAATAAATATGAGAAGGCCTTTCGGATTGTCTCGGAACATGCAATATTATGCTACCGTCTATTAATTATTCAATGCATCGAACTAGATTTTGAACTGCTTTTAGACTTACAAATTAGAAAACAGATCGTAGTGCAGCGTACTTTAATACACCTCATCTTTCTTTTGTATAAAACTAAGTGATAACCTAGAGAGTAGCTTACTGTTAAATGTAAAAAATGCCTTAAATAGTGCTGCTGTTACGCGTCTTCCCGGCGTCACACCGAAACAGAAAACCAATGAATCAGTTTTCAATCTGTCCGATGTCCGTTGCTTAAATTTTCTTCATTTCGACTATAAATGCTATTTAGGTCAATCTTTTGTGATCTGAGTGAGTCGTTCTGTTTTTGAAGTGCTGCAAGTGCACGCAAAGCTCTACACGAAAAAGGACTTGGGGGCTATCCTAATTAGTGTTTTAAATTTTATCGTATTTCATATGATCCCTGGGAGCTCTGGCGGCGACAAGGGTCATCAAGGTCTCAGTCATTCAAACGACCACACGCTAGTCAGGCCCTGGACTAGATGTAACGCTGTCTTACCTGTTATCGTTATTGCTTAGATGTAGTACAACCTTACGACCGATTTGCTGATAAGCGTTTCGCCATCGTAGAAACTCGTCTCGATGGTCACATTTCCGTTGAGTACCTTGGCCGGCATCATCTGCGATTCGGGTGCGGCTTCAATCGTCGACTGCCACGTGTTGGTTGTATTCGGACTGACCCAACCCATCTCGAAGAACCACTCCTCCATGATGCGACCTTTGAAGAGGACCTACAATGACAAAATCGATTCACATACCGACCTTGATGAGCATATTCCCATTTGTACTAGCTAATTACATTCCTCCCCCAACCCCAATTAGTCTGGACGTCCAAAAGTACACATTAAAATGCCTTTTCGTGAGTGTCCTTAATTATCTCCCTTCCACCCTCAATCCTTTCACCACCCACCTTCTGATCCAGCCGAAAGTTCTCCATCGATTCTACCGTGCTGAAGTTGATCTCCCTCGAGACGGCCCTCAGGTCCAAAATTTTTATCGGCACCCGCGCTTCGTGCTCCACATCCGGACAGGAAAAGTCTTTGTTCTCCTGCCAGATTATCTTACCGGTGTCGGCATCCCGCAGAATCAACCAGTTTCTGTGAAAAATAACGTGAACGAAATGTAATCCACTTTCGTCGATCCGCATGTCACCGTGCGTACTTACATTTGAAAGCCTTCGCGGACTTTTTCACTTCTGGCCACGTCGTCCGTTCCCATTCCGCTTTTAGTTTGGTTTGGTTTGGATTCTTTATTTCCGCTTTTGGATGTTACACTTTCGACGAATAAAACTCCGCAGAAAGTTGAGGACAAAACTGGAATGCGCCAACGAAAACAAACACTGCTTTCCTTTTCGATGGTGGGTTTCCAAACCGATCGAACTGATCCGCGTTCGGTTAAATCGGGTTTGACATTTCTCGACTCGCTCGAATGGAAGCAGCCCTGCAGCGAACACTTTAGCATCGCGTTGTCGAGTTGTCAAAAAGTGGCTTTCGCGGATCGAACCGAAAATTTGTATCCTCAAATTTAGCACAAAAATTCGTATTTTTCAGGGCCAAAATGAGTTCAAAATCAAAGCGTGGTGATAGTTCCGGCAAGGACGATGAGGTAACTACTAAATCTCCTCCAATTTCATCTAAACAAAGTGAATTTATCGCTTGATAATCACCCCATGAAAATCGACACGTCAGAGAAAATCATCACCCAAAACGTTTCTCTCTTCCTAGCCGGTCAAGATCAACAAATGGGACGGAACCGCCGTCAAGCACGCCCTGGACGATTCGGTCAAGACGGCCCTGATGAATCGAACCAACATGAAGGAACACCACGCCATCATCGATGGGCGGCTGCTGATCTGTGCCCTGGCCGTGGCGACCGCCCTGGTGGCCCTTGGCTACGACTACCAGTATTCCTTCCCGAGTTCCAAGCCGGTTCTGATCGTGTGCGTTTGTTTCTACTTCTTCCTGATGGGAGTGCTCACCGTGTACACGAGCTACGTCGAGAAGGGAATTTTCGCCGTCGGTAATCAGAAGGACGACAAGGGCAACCAGAAGCGCTGGCAGGCGAGCTCGGACATGAAGAAGTACGACGACAAGTACGAGCTGACGATTCAGCTGCGGGATGCGCGGGGTGTCCGCGAGGCGACCGTCGTCAAGTCGGTGGCCAACTTTGTCGACACCAATGGAACGATTCTGGACGATTTGGTGGCGAACGAACTGAGCCGCATCGTGAATTCGTTGAATTCCGAAAAGAAGGATAAGTAAAGGGTTTTAGAAGTAAGCTGAATCTAGAATGAAGTATGTCAAGCACAGTCACACATTTCCAGAGTTTGTGTTTCAACAAGACAAAATTGATGATCTTTATTAAATGTGTCTACCTTTAGAGATTCCTTGTGGATTGTTTGGACTGATAAAATAGCATCGATTGTATGATTTGCTTCTATCCGAAAATCGATTGGTCGTCTCTTCGCGAAAAACATGTCTTATAATAATGTTAGGAAAGTTTCTGATTTCTTTATTTATGACACTTTCATATGTTAGGAAAGATTTTTTTTAAGTAGTTCAAAGAATAGTTCATTTGAATCGTTTTACTTTACAGAGGGGAACGGTATTGAAATTGATTGATATTTGTCAATATTTTCGTTTTCAAAGGTACCTCGTCGTACTGCGTGCCTTAGGTTTGTCGGTGGCGGAACTACCAACTAAAACACATTTAAATTTACCGTTAAATGCGTGTTCGCAGAACAACTTGCGAGTGTTATGTATGTTTGTCAGTGGATTTGCTATCGATTCGCCTTATCTTAATTTTCAACTTCTGCACTTCTGCATGTCTTTCAAACGATATAAATGAATGAATTGATCAGTTAAGTTTGCAATTAATATCAACTGATGTAAAATGCGCACAACACAATCACTTGGCACTACCGGCACCGACAAAGTGACATGAATGACCATAGCAAAATCATTAAAATTTAAAATATTTGAAATATTTAGCTAAGATATGAACCCGCATGCAAAAGTTATGAATTGGTTCGTGTCTGATCTATTTTTCGCACATTATTTTTATCTAGATAAAAAAAATCCTATGGTTTTGACAGTTCGCATCACTGCACATTTAAATCGGCCGTTTACGATTTTCGGGCATAAGTCAGAATTAAGCGTCATGTAGGTGACATGAATGATCATACAAATTACATAGAATTTTTTGATCAAAGCACAACACTGACATCTGCCGCCGTGTTCGCGGAAAATATTTATCCTAGCCATGAATACGTGTACAAAATTTATGAGTTGGTTCGTGGCTTGTCTATTTTGAACAAATAATTTTTATCTAGGTAAAACATTTCTATGGTTTTGACAGATAGGATCGCTGCTCATTTGAAACGGTCGTTATGGATTGGAAGTTTAATGTCGTTTTCGTTTTTGCGGTGTAGCACTGGTGTAGTGTAAGCAGGAATAAGCGCGAGTCTTTGACAGCTCAACATCATTTGTTTGTGAACAAAGGTACACCTAAAATATTTCGGTGTACACTCAAAAAATTTCACATGTCATCATCATGTGCCTCAGGCACATGATGATGACATGTGAAATTTTTTGAGTGTATGGCAGTGCAGCCACCGACAAACCGACATGACACTAAATTCTGACTTATGCCCGAAAATCGTAAACGGCCTATTTAAATATGCAGTGATCCGAACTTTCAAAACCATAGGATTTTTTGATCTAGATAAAAATAATTTGTCCAGATTAGATCAGACACGAACCAATTCATAACTTTTGCATGCTGGTTCATGGATTAGCTAAATATTTCCCGCGAGCACGGAGCCAGATGTCAGTAGTGTGCTTTGGTCAGAAATTTTATTGGTTTTGCTATGGTCATTCATGTCGGTTTGTCGGTGGTGTGGCCACCGACAAACCGACATGAATGATCATACAAAGTATCATCAAATTTCTGATCGACGCACAAAACTGACATCTGCCGTCGTGTTCGCGAAAAATGTGTATCCTAGCCACGAACACACAAACTAAATGTATGAGTTGGTTCGTGTCTAATCTTTTCCGGGCAAATTATTTTTATCTAGATAACAAATTTCTATGGTTTTGACAGATGGGATCGCTGCACATTTGAATCCGCCGTTATGGATTCTCGATCAAGAGTTAAGTTTTAGTTTCATGTCGGTTTGTCGGTGGTGTAGCTACACCGCAAAAACGGTAATGACATAAGTTTCATGTCGGTTTTTCGGTGCTGCAGCTATCGAACCTGGTCAGCATGTCATTAGCAAGACTGACCAGCGAAGAAATATTGCGCATTCAGAGAGATATGTGAGAGATGGCACAGGACGTGGCAGAGAAGGCAGCCATTGCTGGACCATCTCTCGAAAGCATTTATGGGAGGTACGCAGGGAGAGATCCTGTGTATTCTGGATCCAGCGGATATTGTGCGAACAAATGGCATTAAGCCGTTTTTAAAAGCACGCAAAAAGCGCGAATCAGGATGCGGATGCATCTGGTCCGCCGAGGAACAAGACGACGAATTTGATGGCCACAATGAAAAACTCCGAATGAAGATTGAAGCCCATTTCGCCAATCCGTAAGTATACAGAAGTGTGGAATTAAAATGAAATTAGCGAATTTAGAATGCACTACATTGTACTAAGCTTGTACCAAAAAGGTGTTTTGACCGACATCGGTAATGTGACGCTTGGTCCTGATCATCCTAAAATTAAAGCTAATATAGGTGCAACCTTTGAATTAAAATTTTAATTTTCTGTTTCGTAGGAAATATCACTTCGATCACCAATACTTCATGTCAAACTTGATCATTGCTGTGTACTGTTACCAGGAACAATACCGAGCCGAAGTTACTTGTTCGTTGTGTACTTTTGCCGGAAAAAAAGATAAGCTCTCAGCAACCGCTGATGCTACTGGGAACTGGAACTGGAATATTTATAGTTTTACGTGGCATGTTGCCCTGAAGCATCCTAGTGGTTCAGATTTGGTTGCGTCCATACTATCCAAACGACGTGCTTCTGATGCTGTCAGTCCAGAAATTTCATCTCCTCCGAAGGTGCTTTTGGAGGTGGATGATATTGAGAACACGATCCCAAGCAAGATCCACATCAAGTAACATTCAGCTTGAGTCATCTACAGAGTCGTCCATTTCAAACGAAGCTGATGAAGATCTGGGTGTCATGTCAGTGCTAACATTTGAAAACGGCACAAAAGCCATTTGTAAACAAATGGCTTGTGGGCCCTTTACTAACTACTTGAAGTACACCCACGCGACACAACAGCAACATCGGGTAGGGGAAATTTTCCCCTTCCTGACGATGCTGTTGGTTTGCGTGGGCGTTCTTCGGGTAGCGAGTAAAGGGCCCACAAACCATTTGTTTACAAATGGCTTTTGCGCCGTTTTCAAATGTTAGCTGTTATGTAAGTTTATCTGTTTATAAGCGTATTTGAGAAAAAAAAGTAAGAGGTTGTATGGTTGTATCCAAGACACAACCGTAGATTTGACATATGATTACGAAAGGTAGTTTTGATGTCACAGCTAGTGTCACAGCAAAAGTATAGTAAATAATAAAATGATTTCTTAAATCGTTATCTGTTTTTGAGGTGCTCTGTCGGTGTCCATGTAGCCAATCCTGGACGATATGTCCGCTGGATTCTTTACTTAACTCTTGTTAAGTCCTTCTTCCAGTTCACTAAATATAAAACACTTCTGCTTTGGTTAATGATCAAAATACAAGAGAGCAACTTTATTATCTTCTGTCAACAGCAAACCTCAAGGAACAAAGTTAATTGCCTTTCAGGTATATAACATTGTTTGTGCAACGTCATCTACATGTACAACTACCCTACCCACTGTAGCTACTATACAAACGAATACAAGTAAACAATATATCAGTATCTCGAATACCTCCGCCATGGCAGGACGGTCAAGCAAACTGTGTGTTTTATCAATTTCATCTCCGTACCTATCACAACGATCATAAACACAACGTAGGATCCCGCCTGTGCGCGATCAAACATCGAGCATTACATAGAAAAGATAGAACCCATTTGAAGACGTAAGAGGGATAGGAATCTGTTACACTGTTAAGACAAATTCATTAAATTTCAAGTTCATTACAACTCCTTCCCTATTAAGTTGAAATACATAATCTAAACTGTAAATACAAAAGCTGATATGTTCTATTATTCGAATGCTCACCACATAGAGCTAAATTCAATTTCGATGGCCCTCAATATTCATGCTACGTTTGTTCAATAATAAATAAATTCTTCATGCGCTGGTTTTCTTTTCTTCCTGTAGAATTTTCGAATTCCTACAAACTGATCAACTGTGGAATCCTTGGTCTCGCAATTTTCTCGTAGTACTCCAGGGTGTAGTTCCCTCCTAGCTGGTGGTGGGTCCATCGACTGCTTGAAACCGCAGAACGGTTCTTCGTCATGCGATGCTGTGTATTTTCTCTTTTGCCCACGCCTATCCGCACCACTTCTTTCGACCTGGAACCACACATTTCGCTTCCTTTCACTCTTCTTCATGAGTTTTATCTGCCCCCTGTGGGCCGTGAGAAGATGTGCTCCGATGGCAATCTGAGTCCGCATCGCTATCGTAGTCCATACTCAGCCGCTTAAAATATTCATGGGGATCTTCCTCACTTGAAGCCTCACCAACAAACCTAACTGGATTCCCTGTCGGATTCTTTTGTTTGTTAATCAATTTATAACAATTCTTTTGTATGTGTCCTCCTTAATTGCAATAATGGCAAATGAAATTGGCATAACGCCCTTTAGTTTGCGATCTTGATCTGGACCTATAACCCCCATAGGGTTGCTGAACGCGCCTATCATAACGTCCACGCTCATGTCTGAATCTCTCTCTACCTCTTTCTACACCATCTCGTTCTCCATAACCTCTCGAATCATCTTTCGGAACCTTCCGACCTAATCTTTCTCTTACTGAATGGACTTCACCAGTCCTATTTATTGCCTGAGAACTATTCGTCGACACTTCTTTGGTTTTAAGAATACGCTCTGCCACTTTTAGGGTTAAGTTCTCTTCATCCAGGAGCCTTTGCTGCAAGTTTTTGTCATACACTCCATAAACTAACTGATCCCTAATGGCGGAATCCCTGAATTCCCCAAAATCGCATGTTTCAGCCAACAATTTCACATCAAGCAAACAATTTTCATTTGTCTCTGCTGGTCCCTGAACTCGGCATCTAAATCTATATCTCATTACAATATCTGATTCTACCTTGTCGTACCTTTCTTTTAACTTTTTGATAATGTCGGCATATGAAACAGTCTTCAAATCTGTAGCAGGATAAAGACGTTTAAGCTCATGGAATACTGTAACCCCACATAAACTTAAAAAGCTATCTTTTTTCTTAACTTTTT